TGGTTTGATGAGTGGTGGTTTGATGAGTGGTGGTTTGATGAGTGGTGTATGATGAGTGGTGTATGATGAGTGGTGGTTTGATGAGTGGTGGTTTGATGAGTGGTGTATGATGAGTGGTGGTTTGATGAGTGGTGGTTTGATGAGTGGTGTATGATGAGTGGTGGTTTGATGAGTGGTGTATGATGAGTGGTGGTTTGATGAGTGGTGTATGATGAGTGGTGGTTGAACAGCTGTTGAATGTCCGTAACACGGAAGTTTTGCACACTAAACTTCCTTTGATCATTCACCTTCCCCTTTAGTGGTTGCTTCACTCATTTTTTGGACGTCCAAAATTCCAAAATCCACCAGTCCTTGGCTCCCGCCTTCGTCTGCACTTCTTCCAGACCGAGATCCTCTCCGCTCTCGACCGGTCGTCCCAGCGTTTCCGGTGCGGCCATGGGCGGCACGGCCGGGGTCGCCCGGGGTGTTGCAGAACGCGAGATGGTCTGTGAAATAGTTTTTCTTTGGCAGAATGCAGATAGCACAAGATATATAAGATATGAAGGATGATGAAGGTTATCACTGCTTGAATCATTACACATGAGGTCTGCACGTCGGCCTATCTCATTTTTGCTTCAATGGCAAACTTGGATCCAACGCCTTTTCTGAAATCACCACGGAAAAAACAAGGAACGCTCATCTTCAGCATGGTGACATGTAAGAAACACGACTTCTGGTGCTTGAGCCATCGAATCTCCAGTTGGGATGGTCATGTTTTTCCCTCGGCGGAACCTGTTCAGACGCAGTGCTGAAACCACCCCCAGGTGAGTTACTTGGTTTCTTTCCTGACACCATCATGGAAGCGGACAATTTCCGTCGGACGTCAGTTTCAATGTTAGTGCACCCTTTTTCCTGAGATCCCTCACCATGTCCGTGCTTTGAGGGCTCCAGGGCGTTGAAAACTAGGTGTGTCGATCTTGGTCTTGCAGAAGTACCACCCAGAAAGTTGGTTCTCCCCATACGTAGGTTTTTCATGCTTTTACCCTCCATCCTCCGGTCTGCGTCGACCGGAGCTCCATCTCTGCCGAAGAGAACGAACGGATCCGACACGTGTGTCTCACACGTGTCTCGGCAAGGCGAGCCTCAAGGAGCCTCACGACTGGTGGTTGAGGTGATGTTTGTGAAGCCCTGGAGGTCTGTTTTTGGTGCAGCGTCAGTGCCGCTGTTGGGTCCCGCCAAGGCTCCACCGGCAGCGCCGCAGACGGGCGCACGACGGGCGGGAGGGGCGCGCCCGGCTCGGGCGCCGAGCCCTGGCGCGAGTCGAAAAGGTGAGGATATCTTGAGGAGTGTGGACGATATGGATGGAGATTCCCAACAAAATTCATGGCTTGATGCTGTTAAATCAATCCAAGCTGTTGCAACACGTTCCACAAAGATTGGCCAAGATCAACGCCAGAGGATCTTCTCATTCCACACTGGAACTGCCAGCATGCCTACCACTGCTTTTGCCGAACACACCAGAACATCAGCACAAGGAGCAAACACATTCCAACGAGTTTTTCTGTGTTCTACATTCCTGCTACTTGGTACATTCCATGCGCACTCCCTCCAACCAAAGGATGGCACCGAGGTAATGCCACCTACTTTCCATGCTTGGAGGCAGGAGTTCCCTCGTCCGAAGTCGCTCCGGTTGGCTGAGCTCCCGTTCGGAGGAGCTCGCGGGTTGGGGTGTCACTCCACTCCGAAGAAGACGAGTTCGGCAGTGAACAACATCCCAGGTGTCATGAACAGATGCTTTGGGCCATCCATCTTTGGGCCATCACCAGGTCTGAACGCACGCCGTCTGACGCCCGCGGAGGCGCCTCGTCGCGTTGCGTCCGCTCGTCTCGCAAGGTCTCCTCCGCCATTTCCAAGTTCCCCAGCACCGCCACGCGCAAGGTCTCGTGGCCTGAGAGACGGGCGGTCCCGGTGGAGGCGGGAGCGCCAACGGGTCATCATCATCGATCGGGGAAAAGAGGGGGAGGGGTGAAGTCGCAGAGATTCTAATGGGATTTGGGATGGGATTTTCCATATGTTTCAGTCATTTCACACACATTTTTGGACTTTGGCCAGGACCTGGTGATGTCCTTTTCTTCGAGCAAACCACGGCCCTATCTTGGGTATATCCCAGTACCAGTCCCAGGAGATCCAGACAAACCACTCTAGCCGGTAACCACTCCAAAGACTCAAGCCACAGGCCGAGAAGTCCTGGTTTCTGAAAATTGGTCTCTAGGACCCTGTGGGAGTAACAGTGGATGATGCTTAGGCCACAAACACCGGGCCAGGTTTCTGGTCATGGGACACACACCCGACACAAAACGAGCGGTCGCCTCCACGCCCAACGTGTCTTCCAACGCGGTCGGTTCCACGCCCAACGCGTCTCGTTCGGTGCGAGTGGCGCAAAAAGGAGTTGTATTCCTCGGGATTGCTCATCATCCTCAGTGTTCGGTCGGCTCGGTCGGCTACCACATGTGGCTGTGGCTGTGCTTAGATAAAACACGATAGAGGAAGATGGGTACATCTGCAAGAGTCACTAGGATCAGGGTTCTTTGAGAAACGCTTTGTATTGCAGTAACTGTGGATTTTCCAAATGGAGAAAGGAAACAACACAAAACGACCCGGTCTCAGAAACCCGACGGAGAAATGAGAAACCTCTTCTGAAAACCAAGAATTGAAAAAAACAGGCCATCCATCTGAACACCAAGAATTGTGGTCTTTGTGAAGAAAGACACCTTTTGAAGCAAAGCCAGGTCTACATCACGCCCGGCTCGTTCAAGGCGGGACAGCTGTTCATCAGCGCTTGGAGCTGCAAAAGCACCACGCCTTGGAGCTCACGTCGAGAGACGGTGTGTGGCTCTATGTCGGGTACACCTGCAAAAACCCAAGGGTGTGTGGCTGCGTGCAACCAAGAACAGCTGTAGTATGCAGCCTAGCGTGTCAATGAGCGACTTGAAAGTGGTCAAGTGCATGAACTGCACCCCCAAAAGCCCAGCCATTGGTATCAAAAGATGAAGTATTTGTTCACATTGACCCAACCAAGGAGGTTGTAAATGGGTGAAACCCTGTCTCGATCTCTTGGACAACGCACCTGATCAGATCCCTCAAAGCAGTGATGAATTCGACCGTCCATCTCTTTGCATTTCAGTCCACCTTCTTGGAAGAGAGGGGAGGAGTAGGGAGTCCACCCTAGGGCATCGCGAACCGAACGGAGCGATCGGAGGCTACGAGGGCCGGGGCGATCGGAGGCTATACATCCGATGCGAAGACCCACGCCCAGTCCCTGGCATCGATTTCTATGACCAAGACACGAAAGCTGAAGGAGGGGTTCCATCCAGGACCGGGCCAAGTGTTCAGAATCGACAGGCAAACCTTCCCTCGGACCGCGGGGGGCGAGGTCCTTTCTTCCGAACGCAGAGCTGAAAAAAGGGGTGGGAGATCGATGAAACAGCGAACTGAAACTGCTGGAGGAATCAGTTGCCGTTTAGATCAGGACTGGGTTCATCAAAGCGATCTGATCCGCCCTCAAAGCAATTGCTTTTCTTCCGACCAAAGTCCACTGGATGAGCTCTCAACCTCACAGGAGCCATGAGGGATTCCGCATCTCTTTAGATCATTTCGGTCTGAAAACATTCCTGGCGGTTGATACCCAGCGAAATTCGGATTACAGTTAAAGCTCCACAACATTCCACAACTACTATATAATTGACGGTAGACTCTTGATAATAAAACACCCCAAACCTGAAGAGGTTTTTCAATCCAAACGGCACGGGTTGTATACTAATCAAGAGTGTCTACATAACAGGGCTAGGACAAATCGATTGATCTGCAGCTCTGCAGCCAACGCAAATCAGCTGGGAAACTTCAATCTTCCATACATGGAGCCATCCGACCCCCCTTGAAACCATCCTAATTACAAATTTCCATATCCTTTATCCTATCTTCCCCATCTCATCCACCGTGCCACAAAAACCCAGAACCCACCTGGGAACCATGGGCAACTCACCTGGTAACCCGAGCCGCCCGAAAAGCGAAGAACCAGTTTGGCCGTTCTCCCCAAGGCTTCCGGACCCTTCTCTGCTCCAAAAAAGAACACCAACGCAGGCGGACGCAGGCGGACGAGGCGCCGGAGGTGTAGAATTGTGGGTTGAAGCGCACTTGTTGTTGCCCCGTGGTCATGAAGCGCGCCAAGGGCGGCTCGTGAGGGTAATTGGGCGTGGCCAACAGGATGAAGTGAAAGAGTCCGCCTGGCTTTCGCCGATGCGGAGTCCGCAGAGAGGTCTTTCCCGACGCAAAAAACGCGTCGGGATGGATGGTATAAGGTGCCCAGATGGTGCGATGGTTGCCCCCACACCCTTTTCTGGCTGAGCTTTCAGGAGGGTGTGTTGAGGATTCATGCTGAAAGCAAACCATGTCCTTTGATCGATCGTTGAAGTGATCCAATGAGATCCTTTTTCTCGTGGAAGCCCCAACGCCTGAACATCCTATCCTCCCCAAAAAAGGATATGAAAGAGATCATCCTATCCTTTCCCATCATCATATCCTTGATAGATCATCCTTGATATATTGTTCAACTGTCTGAAAGAATTCTCTTTCAAGAACATCCAACTTTCCCATCCCTTTGGCACGGCCGTTCACCCCACGGAAATAACCACACCAAACATCCGCGTGGAACACCGACTCGTCTGCTCTCTTCGACTCGTCACTCCCCGAAGGGCGGAGCAATGAAACACACCCAGCCCACCGAGCCCAGCGAGCCCCAGCGACGCGGAGCAGAGGAGAAGCAAATAGCGGAGTGAGCAGGTGTTGCGACTTGGGCGGCCTTCGTCTTCGCTTTTTTGTGCCTTATTTCTTTTTCTGCACCCCTCTAGATCATGTGTGATGAAAAGAAACAACACATCAACACCCATCAACTGACCACGATCACATGTTTGAATGGGTGCGTGGACTTCCGCGGTTGGTGTTTTGTGACTAGTCTTTCTGGAGAGACTAGGAGAAATCCGGAAGAGCTTGAGGAAGATGTCTCCATCATTCATCTATCTACTCTAACATACCCCAGAAATCTGAGGCTTGCGCATACATGTACATTGACCCTTGACATCCCTTGACCAGATTCTCCCTGTTCGTGCTGCTCAAATCGGTCTCGGCCTTCGTAGGGCGTACCTTCCGGTCCTGTCGCCATCGAAGAAAACGATAGGAGCCCCTAGTAGCGTCCTTGCTCCTAGTAGCGATGCCCTTTGCTCCTAGTAGCTTCTTGCTCCTAGTAGTAAGGCCAGGAGCCCCTAGTAGCGTCCTTGCTCCTAGTAGCGATGCCCTTTGCTCCTAGTAGCTTCTTGCTCCTAGTAGTAAGGCCAGGAGCCCCTAGGAGTGTCCTTGCTCCTAGTAGTAAGGCCAATGTATAGACTGTATTAGCTGAATACAGGATTTATCCGAACTAGGGTTTTTAATGCCAATGAGATGAAGGCAGCACGCGCATGGCCGTCGCATGCACTCAGCAAGTAACATGCTCTGAGTGCACGTTTGTCATATAACGTCATATATATAACAAAGATTTTTGGTGTTTTGTGCTAGAAGAAACATCTCCTTTAGCAATCTGGAACACTGATACACGGCGAGTACTTCAGGGTTTCTTCGCGGCGCTCAGCTTCTCCTTGTGCTCGGCTTCTAGAAGCATGGTTACATGTATATCTTTCCATTTTCCCGAAGCAAAGTGGTTTCTTTCGTTGACTGAACTCATGATGAGGAGGAATCTCGAATACGGCAGCATGCCACGGTGAACTGGGTGCAGCCCGCCAGAAAAGCAGGAAACCTCCTCTAGCGTTCCAAAACCATTTGGTTGACCTGGTTGACCTGGTTTTCTAGTCTAAAAATCCTTAGTAAAGCAATGGTGGTTTGGAATCCCAGTGCTTTCGCCCCTTTTCCAATTCTCTTCCGACCACCATGCGTTTCAAGACAAGTTTACCCAGACTGACTGGTATTTTTCCTACTTCTGCTGATTGGGCACCCCGTTCGTTTTGCATTGAAAGAACCTCCCGGTTTCGGTGGCTATCTCTTCCGTCCGAGCCGGTCTGAGCAATTCTCTCCTTCAATGAGCGCGTGGACCATGGTGGCGATCTCTTCATCGGGCGCCACCTGATTGAAGGGAAAACGACCCGACCGATTCTGAGAGAGTTGGAACTCTGATATACTCTGATGCTTTCAGGCCGATACTCTGATATACTCTGATATAATCCGACCGATTCTGAGAAGTTCTGAAGTTTGAGATCTGAGTTCGATGTTCCTTCCTCCATTGAACGAGCGGAACGATCTAGCACCGCCAGGAGAATTGGTATCTGGTGTCTCATGAGGATGATTGTTAGCCTTGATCGAGATCTTCAACCTCAAAGTCATTGTCTTTCGCTTCAACAATGGCGGCTGCCACGGCTGCCACCTTTCGAGGTACACTTCCCCCTTCTTGGCACCACCTGTGGGGTCTCTGGATGGAAATGGTCATCCAGGGGGGCAGTGCCATCCACGTTGGCCAAATTTTTTGTTTGCAGGGAGTGTAGCACACCTCCCAGCCAACAAGCTCTCAGCTTGAACCCTCCAGTCATCGTTGCAGAAATGTCGACTTCGAACCCTCCAGTCATCGTGTGATGTCGAAGCCGAACCCTTCATTCTGTCGACTCTGAGCATGCGGAGTCCGGGACTCCAGTCAATTCTTTTTCAAGGGTCTTTACATCAATGACCTCATGTCAGGAACTTCCTTGACTTCAGTGCGGCAAAACAGTGTCGAACTGGGCTTCTAGCGAATGCTGTTTTTTTAGACCAGCCAAGAAACAGCAAAACACAGCGATATATGGTGGTGGACTGTCCATTGTGACACACCACTGTATGTGCCAGGCCCTTGTGCCCTTGCATGCAACTCGTGAGCGCGACGTAGTGGCCCGACACGGATACGCAGGGGGGAAAACGGACCCGGATTCTTCGGGTCATGTCGGAGCACCCATCTATGACCCATCTACCACATACCTGCGCTTCTTGTTGCGTTCGTAGCGATGCCCTTGTTACTAGTAGCTTCTTGTGCTTCTTGTTACTATAGTATAGCCAGGAGCTACATACCTGAGCTTCTTGCTCCGTTCGTAGCGATGCCTGGAGGCTGAATGGATGGCCCAGTGGCTGGTGCCTCCCGTCCCGCGCAGGGCCTGGATCCCGGGCAGCGGCTCCGTGCGAAGGCCGCTGAGCTCGTGGCCTAAACGCCGCAGGCAGCCGCTGGTGGGGGGCGGTAAGGCCTCGGTTTCACGCAATGAAGGCACCAAACCAGAGACCGAAATGCACCAGGGAGAATGAAGATCTGTGAGAATTTAGAAGTGGAAAGGGGGGCAAACAATAAATACATCTCCATGAAGAGCTTTACAATAACCCCTGGCATTTTTGAAGTCTTGGGACCAGCAACGAATCCGAATGATTCTCCAGTTGTTCGGGTCTCTATGGTCATTGTCTGGGGTTAAAACCCCTTTTTCACTCGGACAGTCTCAACCGGGGAACCGTGAGACAGACCAACCCTTTGGTGGTGAAAGTGCGGCTCCCGGGTTGGTCGTCCCAGGAATCACTGAAGCACACGTCCCTGGTGAAAAGCAGGACAACCTGGGTGAAGAACCTGGGTCACCTGGGAGTTTCACCCCTCCACTGGAGACACGTGTGTCAGCCCCGAACTCTCTTGTGACAGGGCGGTCTTCAACTCCAAAGCCCGACATGTGGGGAACATGCTGCCATGCATGACCATTTGGAGCAACGTCTATTTGTGTTTGTTTGTTTTTTTTTTTTCAAATTCATTTTATTCAATTCTATATAGGTCTAGAGGTCTTTTTGACAAACCTCCTGCGCCGGCATCTGAAAAACGTTCTTGCTCTTGAAATGTTCCAACGCACCCGCCAGACGAAACGACCATACACAGCTGTTCGTGATCACCGAAACGACGTCCTCCCACGCCTTTGATCCCAGCGGCAGCCACCAGCGGATCCCAGTTCGTGCTCGCCGCGTCCGGCGCAGCGGGCTCCGGTGGATCCATGGCCGGGGCACCGATGTTCTCGGGGCTGGGTGGGGGTGTAGCCTCCTGGTTCAAAGGCGAGCTTGATAGGAGAATGACTTGATATGATCCAAATAATTGGTTATCCAAAATATCCAAAGACTTCAGCACTTCTTCCAAAAGCACCTTCATTCATTCTTCCGCTGTGGGGTCAATCGATCTTGTTGGGCGGGAATCTCGGGCAGCTCCAACAGAATGGATGCTTTCGAACGTGCTTTCGGATGGATCCATCCTCAGTGCTGAAATTCCATTGGGTGACTGGCTCAGTGCTTTCGTGGTGGCCATTCCTTCCATGGAGAGCTCAGCCATGATGGGAGTCCCGAAAGTCTCAACGAGAAACAACGGGCAACTGAGATCCGTTGGCTTAATTCCATAGCCCTGGGCTGTTTGGACACTCCAGGCAGAGCTCTGGGATCACGCTTACACCTCATTGGGCCCCATTTTGCCGCGTTTTGGATCTGTTGGTGCTTTGGAAAAAGAATCGCAAAGCATGGCAGCCGTGGAGCATTTGCGTGGACCCTTCTCTTGATTTGTAGAAACCGGTATCTGTTGGTGTCATCAGTAGGGCTTGGTTTCTACAAACAGATTGGAAAGCCCACCTCTGTTGAGCCACAAAAGGCTGCAGAGCGGGTCTTCGACCACGGTGGTCATCCTGCTTGCTCTGTCGTTCTTCGCCTCTGGTCATCCTCATTCGCTTTGGGCTATGCTTTTAGACGTCGACCAATGGCACCTGGCACCCCAAAAGGTCTGTCTTGGGACTCCAAGAGATCGCAGGAGAGAGAGCAAAACCACCACGTACGGAGCGGTCGACCAATGGATCTCTTCTCTTCTCTTTCTCTGGGACAACTCGACTTCACCGAAGCCGTTTTCGCACGGAAGTCGATGGACATTTTGCAGTGGTCATTCCCTGTCGATTCCCTGTCGAAGGCTATTCACTCACGGTGCAATCATGTGCACTCATTCTATCTGATCAGAACCGTAAAGTGAGTGCTTCAAGGACCCACTCCAACGACATGGGCCAGCGTGTGACCCACCCCCAGCACCCAAAAAGTGGGATGGAACCGAAGAAAACGAGTGGTGCACCTTTCATTTTTTAGGTAACATGACACCCAGTAGACAAAGCAAAATCCTTACTAAACATGTGCAACACGTGTACTTATAGAAACCAAGAAGCTACGAACGGGGCTCCTGGCATCGCTACGAACGGAGCGATCGGACGCTAGGATTAGGGGCTCCTGGCCGTACTACCGGGAGCAACAGCATCGCTATGGCTCGCTCACCGAACTCACTGAGCTCTCAAGTGGTACCCCAAACGTTCCGTCCTTTTCTCACGACCCGTAACCTGCGTTCTGCGGCACGAAAATGGCAGAACGAACTCGGAAATACCTTCACCCGAAGAAGAGAGGCCTGACGGAGTGCCTGACGGCTGACGGTCAACATGAAACAATTTCAACGGACCACTTCAGCTGTGGCTCAACAAGAACCACCAGGTGACCTGGTCTTTGGTGGACCTGGGAGGTCACGTTCGCGGAATTACCGCCGAATCCTCCATTCCAATCGGATCGAAACCGATGAGTCCTATCAGTCTCCGTCAGTCCATCCCCATCTTCAGTCAGTCCGGCGTTGGACTTCAGAACTTCGAGGATCCAAAACGTTCTTCACCTTTTTCACGACGAAAGGCTTCGGCCGCGAGAAGCGTCTGGTCGCCATCTCCGCCGGCGTCTTTTGTTGGACGTCTGGTCGCACTGACATGTCGCCATCGGCAGGCACCTGGCGCGTCTAGAGAGCTGGGATTGGGTTTTAGGATGGTTTAAGGGAACATCTGCAGGAAACCCATGGTTTTCACAGAAAAACAATGGGTTTCCTATAGCGTGTCCCTTCAACCCAGTCTTTGATACTCATGTAGAACCAGTGCAGGCTGTTTGAACCGGTCAAAATACCCCGTTGAGTGAAACAAGTGCAACTGCTATGGTTCCAACAATGAGAGTCACCAAGATGATCGCCACCAGCACCAGCAATACCAACCACAGCTCCAAGAACCGACCACACTGACTCCACAAGAAGAAGGATCAGGGTGGAAGGTGGGTCCTTGTGAAAGTCTCAAGATCGGGAGATTTCTCCATAGCCTGAAAAAAAGAACTTCTTCCTCTTCCGTTTCTGGCCCGCTCGGTGAAGTCTTCGCTCCTTTTTTCGCTCCTTTCGGAAGAGGATCCTTCTGAAACGGCCCACGGTGGGCGACGCGACGCAGCGGTTGTTCGGCAGGTTCATGATATGTTCACATGACGGCACGGGGCCAAGATGACCGTACCAGTTTGTTTTTGATGACCGTACCCTATTTGAAGAGAGTATATACATATATATATATATCTATATATTATAATTATTTGCCTTTCAACTAGGTAACTAGGTTGTTTAATTAATGTTGTTTATATGTTGTTTACTTGTTGACTCATGACAAGTGAGGCCAGAGGGTGACCCATGTGCTCAGGACAATGAAGAGACGAGTCACGAGGAAGACACATCTTCACCTACAATTTCAATGACTCAGCTTGACCGTGTCGTCACTGCTGTGGGGTGAACATATGGGGGGGGCCCATTGGATGGGGAGACTACAATGGGCCCATCTACAATAAGCCTGTGAAGACTACACCGGTTCAATCATGCCAAGTAAAGATCGAAACCAAGAATATCTGACACCATCACCCAGCTATAGTATAAATATCCGCTCCACATACAAGTCGAGAATCAAGTCGACTGTGGTGCACTAGCCAGGTCGGGGTTTTGGCCCACTGTGCTTGCCTTGAGGAAATCCAAGGCCCTCAGGCTGTTCTACGTGTTCCACGCATGTGACATGTGGGGTCCACCGTGTGACAAAAAGCGGTGCCTGGCTGATGCCCGAACGGGTTCGGACACATCAGGTTGGTGGTGCCAGATACTGTTTCTGTACCAATTTGCATTATGCGCTTAAGTAGTGGATCTCCCCCATCCCAATCCACCCAGCAGGGTGGATTTATGGAACCAAACTCTCCTTCACCATCCTTCACCATCCTTCAACCTTGGTGGACCAACCACTCGGGCGGTCTGCGCGCGGTCTGCTTGCGGCGCTTGCTGCGCGCGCTTCTCTAGAGATGCTTTGCCATGCCGATGATGCTGCCGCTCTGGAGTGCCGAGTCCAAGATGGCCGGATGGGCACCTGGGACCAAGGACGCCGGACGGCACCGCGACGCGGTTTCGTTCGGCGGTTTCGTTCGGTGGAGGCGCATCTCGCTACCTAGTGACCAAAGGATACACCGTGCTACTAGTGAGAAGACCGGGATAGTGAGAACACCGGAAAAGCACCTGACGGTTTTTAGACCGGCAGGTGCTGTTTTGGGTTGGGGGGAATGCTCCGATGGCTTGGCAACAGGGGATGGGCACCAGGACTCCTTCAACCGCGATTTCCAGCCTATGGCTCATGACCCGGCCTTCCAATGACTGTGTACATCCCCACGTAGACCAGTTCCGTTCATGTTTGGAGCGGAATCTGTAACTAGATGCGACTTGAAGGACTGGCCGCGACTTGAGGGACTTTCTTTGGGAAGACCATGAGACCATGCAATAACATGGCATCAACTCAACACCATTCAAGACCAGCTTGACTTTGGGCCATTCAGACTGAGAAAAACCAGACGACCAGCAACCACCTTGCTGAATGGTTCAACATCTCGGAGAGAACACCAAGATATGTGGTTGTCCAGCCCAATGGATATGACCCGGCCAAGCACGTGTTCGACTGTTGCGTGCTGGGCTCAACGTATGGTAAGATTGGTAAGTATGAACTGCGTCGAAACCACACGCAGATAGAAGGGGTCGGGTCTGCCCACACGGCCCAGTCTTCGGTCCACAATCCTGCGGATTGGTCTACATGCAAGGTGGTTTGGGGGGGTGGTGAATGTGGTCATATGTACTGATTCATGTAGACTCTTCATTGATAAACCCCGCATTTAAGTCACAACATGCTGTTGAATCTGCCTCACAATCCTCCAACCATCCCCACAGGGCCGAACCGTCCAGCATGGCCAGATTGGCCACAGGTCTCGAAAAACGAGAGAATTCTTATTGTTTCAGTACGTAACCATCATAGGGCAAGGGAAAAAGACATGGATCTCATATGTCATCCTGACATGCATGAAGCATTAGATTCATTAGATGCTTGATGGTGCGCAGCAAATTCTTGGCCACATCCTCCTTTCTTTCCCACATTGGTTCATGCCACACAAGCCTTTGCGGCCAGTGTCTTTCGGTGCCACACGGAGTTTGCAAGAAAGATTGCTCTTTTTCTTTCGGCTCAGACTTGGCTACCGTTGGGCGGGTCTCACCTCCGGACTTTGAACCCTCGATCCCAGCCAACTGAGTGACCAAACCTCCCAGCCGCCGCAGCTGAGTGACTCCTACTGACCCAACCCTGGCATCTTCGCCCCATCTTCGCCCCTAACTGCACACCATTTCGACCCAGCAAAAAGTCGTGCAACACCCATACTCTCAACTGATTTCCTTCGCTTCAACAAAACCCCACTGCCTACATCCTCGTTTCACTTTCCACCAAAAGGAGACCTGCAAACAGCCCTTACGGTCCACCGCCCAGCCGACCCCCCCGACGAATCGCCGCGGAGGTGCGGAAGCCCTTCTCCCAGTCGTCGGACTCGTCTTGAAGTCGATAGACCGCCTGGGACTGTCCGAGGGGTCTCGGTGTGAAACGGCAGCGTGGAGGCGGCGGTCCACACGGATGGGGAGTTCGGGGCAGTCGGCCCGGGCACGGACGGTGGGTGGCTTTTCCAGATCAGCCGGCATTGATCACTTCAACAGAACTCCTGCTCCAAGCCCGGAAGGTTACGTTTGTTTCGGCCTGCAGATGATGACTACCGATTGTTGATGTCGCGAGAATGGGGATCCCAGCACGAAAAGCACGAACTTAATCACCTTAAGCAAAGCCACGTAAAAGTGGGTAAACTTGGGTAGAACCCATGTACATTAGCTACCACTATGCCACTAACAATGGAGGAAGAAGTCTTATGAACGGCCTGTTGACCAGACCCCCCAAACCAAGCCATGAGCTCCACTCCCCTCTTTGGCCCTGTTTTTTTCCTTCCCGTTTTCCTCGTTGGTCTTGCTCGCCTTGGGGTTGTCCGGGGAACTCCCGTGACTGATGGGGGTCATACGGAGATATTCCCTCAGAAAACAACACACACCCCAAAGATCCCCAAAGTATCTCGCTTTCCTCCCCGAAGCGCCAAGGAGTTACTCCCCACATGGACCTCCCCAAAACCACCATATGGGTTGGTCTAGTCGGAACAGGGTCCAACCCACCGGTCTTCCTTCGAACCCGTTTCGGGATCGTTGGCGCGGATCGCGATCCAAGCGGCAAAGGCATGTGCTTCATCGTCCACGCCCTGCGCTCCACTGGCGCGGCCCAGGGCCGTCTCGATGCCGCGGAAGCGAGGTCCGTAGGCGATGCCACCAGCACGGTAGCCCCAGTAGAACCTCGGCCCGATTCGGCCCTGCGGTGTTCGGGTGAACATGTTCTGAATATCCTATATAGGGTCTGAACATAGATGAATACAATCAGTTGAGCAATATAGTATCATAATAGAGTGGAATACATAGGTAATTAGGTAATTATCGCATGGTTGCTGGATTCCAGCCGCTACCGGCTGGATTCCAGCATCTCTACACTGATCAATAGTATATTCATATGGGGACTTCTTGATATAGTATGATCTATGATATAGACCTATGCAACCCATCCCTACACGTGGTTGGGCACTTGGGGATCGACGGGTCGACCCCCGACCGAACTTCAAGCGAGCCCCCGCGGGTCGACGCTTCCGACGGTTCCCTGCGTTTCGGTGTCGGGCCCGACCCCTGCCATGGAGAGCCCGAGCTCGGATTCTTAGGGTGAGTTCTATTTCAATTCCGTAAGTGAGGTGTGTGTAGTACATGTGTGGTAGCCCAGTTTGGTGAACCGAGACATGAACTGTACATGTGGTAGTGCCATTATATACAAGGGGTCAGTCCACAAAGCTGGACTATTTACTGTATCATTTATAACATATTGCTCTTAATATACTACCCAAACGCGACCCTGGACCCTCCGTTCAGTGGGGCACCGTAACCGTTTTTCCTCTGGATGGGGTCCGGACCGGTGGTTTGGAGAAACACCAAGGCCCGCTTGGAGTGTGTGGCTTGGGCCGACCAGTGCGTGGAATGCTTGGATCACTCCGCGGGCCTCCAAACAGCATTCGCCCCGACATGGAGTGAACGAGGTGAGACCCTTGAAACAAGGGATTTTATGGGATTTTCACCGGTGCAGCTGGCAATGGACCTAGGATGAGTTGAAACCCTCAACGCCAAGTAGTGGAGTAGTATGCCACCCAATCCTCTTGTTTTCTGGTTGGATTCGGCAAGCTCTCCCCTCCAGCAGCCAGCTGGCGCCAGGACCCACCGCTTGGGGGGGATCTCCCTGAAAGAGGAAAGATGTGCAAACACCAAGGACATAATCCAAGTGGCTTCTCCTTCTCCTTAGCTTTGCATTTCTTCACACCACTCGGTGGTGAAGATTCGCCGCTTTTCGCTCGCGCCGCTCAAAGCGACGCACAACTTGGGATGCGAGAACCGTTGCGTCTGCCAGTCACAAAGCATTTTTGCGCAACTTGGGTCTTCTCAGAGTTGCCATACTTTTTCGTGAAGTACAAAAACACAACCAGCAACACAAACAATGCACATCAAGAAGGTTCATACGA